ATTTTTTCTGACATATTTGAATAAATTTCCCGGAACAAATTAATGATGTCATCGAAGTAAGATGTAATCGGTTCATCTGGTAAATGTTTTCGTTGTTTTAATGTATCAAATTTCTTATGAGCTGATGTTGAAGAAAAATATCGATTTCGAAATGCAGTTTCGAAATCTGACCATTTTTTGAAATTAGGTTCATTATTATCGAACCATATTCCTGCTGATTGAATTAATTTACTACGAACAATTTCTAAAATTTCTTGATTAGCTGATTCGTCAGTTGCTTTGGTTATATTCTTAATGCTTTTTAAAAACCGTTCGCCATCCTCAGAAGGATGTCCAGAGAAATTCGGTAAATCATCAAATCGTGCTTTACGAGCTTTTGCTAGTAATGTTTGGTCAGCCATTGTAACTACAGTAAAACCTCCTTATGTGGACACCTCTCTAAAGTGGACACCTCTTAATTGTGGACACTTGCTGGTCCGACCGAGCTATTTTTACTTGAACTGAACCTCCACAATGTGGACACCTCTCTATTCTGGACTGTGGACACTTTTCCTGGTACTGTCCATTATAAACAACCTCCCTAATGTGGACATTTGTCCAAACTTATGATTTATTCATTCAGTCGAAGTTGAGTATGCATATGTGCATCTATTGAGTTTCAAAAACGAATTACTTTTTATAACATGAAAATTTTAATTTGCATAAAATTGCATGAATTGTACAAGATAGCAAGTAAACAGAGAATGGGCTAATCAGAATCAAATAAAGGATGAATAGAGAAAACACAGAACAAAACAATATGAGAACAGACGAGTGTGAAACAAAACAAAGAAAAGAACAAACGAAACAAATATAAAGGAGGACAGTCAGAAAAAAATTGATCTTACGTTCATTTGAACCCTTCACATAATAAAAGCCCACCCTATAATAAAAGTCCATCCGGAATAGAAGCCCAGTCTTGGGTGTACAATTTTTCGGACATATTAGAAGCCCACCCTGTCTTAAATAAACATAAAACAGAGGATTTAAAATATTGAATCGATAATCTCGTTGCTTCTCACTGTTTAGCTGGAACTCAATTTGTCTTTTTTACTTTATTTTGTATGTATTTTATACCAACAGACACATGAGCTTCTATCGAGAATTGAAAATTACGAGGCACATGTACTAATAAATTTTAGCTGTCTAAGAATTATGGGATAGAGATTTGAGTACAACAATATCATCCTCCTAAGTTTCTTTCTTTTATGGAATTATGTAGAGTTCGAAAACTGAATGATCGAAATCTGGCTTACTTGACAGCACTATGAGCAAATCTTTCAATGAAAATGAGACTTCTCGAAATGCTCAACTATGATCGTTATCAACCATGCGAGAGCTCATAAGACTCAAAAACAGATACCAATGAGTGATGGTGCGATATCGATTATTATAAAACTTAAAAGATCTTGATTATCTTTCTCTTAGAGATTGAAGATCCTTATTCTATCGCTAAAGGTTTACTTCTATAATCTTTTCTGTTGCGGTGGTTAAAATATATTGCGTTTCATATTTCATATCTGAAGTATGCATAAGCACTCATGATGAACGCGTTCGGTAGAATTATATTCATATATGTCTAATAGAAATTTTTTTCAACTTTTTTCATGCTTGACAGTATCCCAAATCAATGTACTATGCTAACAACATTTTTCCCATCATAGCAAGCCCACGAAATGCTGAAGTCTGTGAGCGCTTTAATGTGAAACCTAGCGTGGACAACGCATTATGAAAATTTTTAGATAATTTAAAAATTCCGATTTTAATTTGTAAGCACCTCGGTACTTGGAAGGTGATAAAATTCTAGCTGCATTTCGAAAAAAGTTGATCACAATATAAGCCCATGTTCAGACTTCTAATTTGCAAAACAAAATAGAAGCTCACTGGGCTTTTATTCTGTGGGCGAGAGGGGGGGAGTTATATAAAGTACTGCATAGATTTGGACGGAAATAAATCATGAAATGAATTATTCCCAAAATGTCTAATATGTAGTGTGATATCAAGAAAGTCATTCCAAGGTGGATTCTGAGGGGTAGTCTTAATTAGGCAGAGAAAAATTGGAAAACCTCTGGAAAGTGGACACCTCCGTATAGTGGACACTTTTGTGTGGTCCCTTGAGTGTCCACTATAGAGAGGTTTTACTGTATATCAAATTCTAATGATTCAGTTTCAATTGAATTAGTATGTGAAGATGTACACGGTTTTGAATATGTGATAATGGTATATGGAAATAATTGACTATTATTTTTCTTAACTTGATATCTTGTTCCGGAGGCCGTTATGAAATTATTGTGTGAAAGTGAATGAATATAGCAGTAATCAATTTAATGATTAAATAAAAATGAATCAATTTATGAATAACGAATGATTGAATGAAAAATGAGCGAAATTCTTTGTTTTTTTTTTTTGTGAATTCCTAATTATCTTGATTTATATGATTGAAGAAGAATGAACGAAATTCTGTTTTAGAATTTCTGATTAGATTGATTTATGTAATTGCAGAAGAATGAACGAAATTCTTTTTTAGAATTTCTGATTTTACTTTATCTGTATAAAAGAAAGCTGACGAAATGCTATATAAGGATTTCTGTTTAATTTGATCATTACTTTTTTCTTTTTTTTGTTTATATACGTATATATCAGACTTGTTAAAAAATTCTTTCTAGAAAATGCATTCCAATTGTATATGTTTTAAAATATTAGAAACGGTTTACTGAAAAGTAGCCCTTATTTTATTGAGTTGATTCTTTATAAACATGAAGAGACATCGTTTTACCTAATAGTTGAATCAATATTTAATAGAAATTTATTCACCCGAGTCTATATTTCAAGGCTCTTATACAATTAATCCCGAGTCTCTTTTTTTATTTAGAGGCTCTTTAATGTTTCAATTAATTTTAGAATTAAAATAAAAAATAAAGATGAATTGTTGTTGTTGTGAATATTCGTTTTGTCCAGGGTCGCCCGT